CCTTCTGCTTTTCCTTTTCTTCTGCTTTTCCTTCTCCTTCTCCTTCTCCTTTTCCTTCTTGTTTGCCGTATTGTTCTTAATCTCGTTCCCAATTCCGCTCTTATGCTTGTTCTTACGCTTGTTATTCTTGCCTGTTCTTGTTCTTGTTGTTATTCTCGTTGTTGTTTTGGTGGTGGTGGTGGTGGTGTTAACGGTGGTGGTGGTGATGATGATGATAGTGCTGGTTTGTTGTCGAGATAGCTGATGATAATGTTGTAGACAAGAGGTGGTGGTGGTGGTGGTGGTGGTGATGATGATGATGATGATGATGGTGCTGGTTTGTTGTCGAGATAGCTGACGATAATGTTGTAGACAAGAGCAGAACAGCACTAGTGACCGTCTTGAGCACCTCCGAAAGATCCTCGCACAAGAAACAGGTCCCCTTGCTAATTCACTAGCTCTTTCTCCTCTCCTCTCCTCATCTTCGTATCCTCTTCCTCTACCCCTCCCTCTACCTCCTCTCCTCCCAATATCACCTCCCTTTGTTCTTCTCATCCTCTTTACCCCTCGCCCTGTATCCGCTCACCTGTTTTCTCCTTCTCCCCTCCTCCTTCTCCGCTCCTCCTTCTCCGCTCCTCCTTCTCCGCTCCTCCCTCCTCCCTCTTCCTCCGTTCTTAACCCCATGCTGACTCGGATCAGTCGGGACTCCCAGGGATCAGGCGAGGGGACAGCCGTCCCCTGCCTCCCTCCTGCCTCCCTCCTCTCGCCTCTCTCACTTCCTTACCATCGACGAGCTCGTCGCCGATCTCAACAAGCAGAGGTGAAGGAAGGTGGAGGTAGAAGGGGAGGGAGAAGGAGGATGAGGGCTGAGGGGAGGAGAGCGAAGAAGGGAGAGAGAAAGAAGCAAGGGAGAAGAGAGGATGTGGAGGAGGAGGAGGAGGAGGAGGAGGAGGAGGAGGAGGAGGAGGAGGAGCGAGGAACAGAATCTAGAAAGGAGGAAGGGAGGCATGTTGTATACATGAGGCTTCAGGAAGGGATCGATAGCAGAGGACGATTCTTGTTCTTCACGTGAATGTAGCCAGTGGAATGCAAATGCCCTGAGCTGAATAGCAATCAGGCTCATACAAATCGTATCGTCTGATTGCAAGTCATAGAAAGTCACTCTTAGCTCTTGTAAACAGTATCTGACCCGATGTCCTGTCTGGTGTTGCAGATCTCGGACTCATCTGGTAGATCTCTTTTCTTACAGACGCTGCATATCTTGATCGATTGATATTGATCTGTCTTGGGCGCCTACAAGAGCTACTCTGCTGCTC